GTTTTCATAATATCTATACACAAGAGAAACTTTTTGTTCTCTGTTGTAGAAATTTGGGGGAGGGGGCATGAATCTAGCTCATTCAATAGAAATTTCAAGTCTTCTGCCTTTAAATTGATGCACTCATCCCAATGCAGGGTCGTGTCCCTTGAGCTGATATACAGGTCAACTCCTGAACTTGTGGGACTTGTATGAGGAGGCCACCAGGAGCTCTGCCCACAGCTCAGAGGTATAACTTTATGCTCCCAGATCAGGGACTGCTAAACACTTTCCGTTACAGTCTGCCAACAACTATCGGAATCTTATGCTTGTTGGTTGACAGTGGGATATCCATTGGAACTTTCGATGGCACTTTATTCCTACCTAGAATCCTCTCAGTTGTGTTTGTTCCAAACCTTCAGGATCAACCTCTTTCACAGGCAACATAGTACCTTACATTCTAGGTGAGATTTTAACATCTATAATCAGATAATTGCTTGGTCTCACATTGACTAAAAGTATAAGGAGAACTTTGGGACAATAAAATATATCGATGTTTCAAACCGTGCAGAATGAGGACCGGTGATGTTTGGGGGAAAGTCAGATGGTCAATCAGATCTTATTTGAGCAGTGTTCAATCTTTGCTATCTAGTAGATATTTGATAAACAAACATTTGTTATATGTATTACACACACATGGAGCTATCTATTTGTATCTATTGGTACCCCTCCCAAATTTCCTTTATAGGATCCTTCTTACTGCTGTGAATGTTGTTTGCTGAAAGAGATGTGTGTACAAAATGCTGCTCCCTTACCTCAAAGTGGAATCAATCCTATGGTACAATTCATGCTCTAGGGCTCTCCATAGGATCAGGCTGCAACTTAACTCTAGATAAGACCAGACCACATCCTTTCTCAACCCTCTCCTGGGCTCTATCTTGCTTCCTTCACTGTGTTTCTTCCGAGAGCAATCTTCCAATAAACTATGCACTCAGATCCTGTTTCAGGATTCTGCCTCTAGGGAATCTGACTGAAGACACTGCATGAGTAAAAGTCAAAAATTATAAAATCTATTTATGTCCATGACTCGGAGACAATGCAAGCAAAGATACAGGAAGGGATGGCATGAAATCAGAAAAAGGGCCAAGGTGAGTAAGATGCCTTACTTGAGTGAAAAAGAATAGGCACAGGCACCTTCAAACCACCCTGCACTAACCAAGTGGATACAAACCCTTTTGCTCTTGCAGTTGGCAAGAACTGTTATTTTAGTGTCTGGACTTTGAGCAATTTGTATCAAAGCCTGGGTGTTCTTTGCCATTGGCATTACAGTTTCTGGGACCTGGAAATAACCACCATGACAAGGACCAGTGGAAAAAAAGGGATTTCAGGAAGAACAGTTGCATAATCTTTGTGATAAGGCACGTGGGGTCCAACAGAAGCACTTCTGAAGCTACGATGACTACGGTGACCTCCTCCATGAGAAGCAACTGGACAATGATACTAGTGTATTACATATAGATGACTAGTTGTAGATTATATATTTATATACAATTATACTGTCATTCTTAATTCTTAATCAAGTCCCCATCATAAGACTTATTCTTGTCCTTGGAGGAACAAGGGTACGGAGTATTCTGGTAATTTATTGTTGTGTAACAAACTGTCCCCAGTTGGCTCATGGCTTAAACAAGTACACTCATTTATTTTGCTCACGTATCTGCAGTTTGGGGTGGGTTCAGCAGGAACAGCAACCCCCCTGCTTCATGACTGTATGAGGCCCCAACTGGGAAGACTTGAATGGCTGGGGGCTGGCTTCCTCACAGCCTGGTGGTCTCAGGGTAGCTGTAGATCTTTTATGGAAGCTGGCTTTCCCAGAGCAAGTGTTCCAAGACACTTCAGGAGGAAGCTGCAAGACTTCTTATGACCTAGCACAAGGTCCCATTTCTGGGACCTCAGAAATCCCAGTACATCACTTCCACCATAGTCTATCAGTCAAGCAAATCACTAAGGCCAGGCTAGATTCAAAAAGTAGGGTAGGGCTGGGGGTGAGGGTGGGGCCAAGGATTAGACCTGATCTCTCCATAGAAGGAATGTAAGAGAATTTGCAGCCATCTTTAATCTGTCACACAGACGTAGAATGTGTAGGGGACTCTTTGATAAACGCAGTAAAGGAAAAAGAAGAGAGCAGGTAAGATTTTGTTTCTTTATTTGTTTTTAGAGACAGGGTCTTGATCTGTTGCCCAGACTGAAGTGCAATGGTCCAAACATAGCTTACTGCAGCCTCAAACTCCTGGGCTCAAGTGATCCTCCTGTCCCAGCCTCCCAAGTAGCTAGGACTACATGTGCACACGACCACATCTGACTAATTTTTTAAAAAACTTTTTGTAGAGACAAGGTCTCACTATGTTGCCCAGGCTGGTCTCAAACTCCTGGCCTCAGGTGATCCTCCCACTTTGGCCTCCCAAAGCCCTGGGATTACAGGCATGAGCCACTGCACCCATGGCGTTTGTTTTTTAAGGTCAAAATAATTTCAGCATGTTCAAAAGCTATGGAAAAAGAACCAGAGAAGGAAGTAGATTAAGGAAGTAAGAAAGAATGTTTGCTGCAGCAAGATTCTAAGGCTTCAGAGTAGCAATATCTAGTCTAGGGATTGCTGTTCTTCAGATGCATACCTTTTCTGTTATCCCTGAATGTTGGTAAAATCATGTGAAACTTCACAGTCTGGATTCAGTCTTGCTGTGGGGAGGGAAAGGAAAGAAAGGGCTGGTTCACTTCCGGCCTGGAAGAGTAGGGGGAGCAATGTCTCCTATAGCTAGGGCATGGCCTATGCCAGCCTCCCCCATCTGATGGGGTACTGCCAGAGGGTAGGGCCATGTCTTCAATTTCTCTGCCTTATCCTACATGGCAAAAACATAACCTGCAAACCAGAATGTCAGTGCTAGGGCCTAGGCCAAACAATAGTTTTCCTGTAGGAATGGGGAGTATGTGTGGATGCATAGCAGGGGGTGAGGCTTTTGTGCAGTTCAGCTTCACCAGGCTTGAAGAAGATGCAGTGAGGACAGTCAGGACTTGAGTATGAGAGTGGGACCTGGGTATGAGTGTGGAAGTCCGTCTTAGAACCTTAGAATTCAATGCTCTGAGGTAAAGCTGAGGGGCTCCACAGGTCTATGAGGGTTTTTCTTTGTTTCTCAGGGACTGTAAGGTGCTCAAATTCTGAGGTAGGTGCCATAGGAATATTCCTCATAGCATAAGCGTTATGTCAGACAATGCTCTACTTATCTATTAGTGAGTAACAAACTTCTCTAAAACTTAGAGGCTTAAAATAACATAAATCATAATTTATGAAAAATTATAAATAATTCATCATTTAAGGGTTAAATGATAAATGAGTTATTTCTCATTTTGGGTAAGTCACAGTTAGGAAAGACCTGTTACTGTTGTGGGTAACATGGAACGGCCCAGATGGTTGGAATAACCCAACCCAGACAGCTTCTTCACTCAATGACTGATCCCTTAGCTAGGATGGCTCCACCAGCCTAGTGGCCCAGCTCTCCCTCTCCAAGTCCAAGTGGTCTCTGCACGTGGTTTCTCTACAGCAGGGTGGCTAAAGGGCAGCAGCTCATGACCACCAACAGCTCAAAATCAACGATGGCAGGTCTTTTTTTTTTTTCAGATGGAGTCTCGCTCTGTCCCCCAGGCTGGAGTGTAGTGGCATGACCTCGGCTCACTGCAACCTCTGCCTCCCGGATTCAAGCGACTCTCCTGAGTAGCTGGGATTACAGGTGCGTGCCACCACGCCCGGCTAATTTTGTATTTTTAGTAGAGACAGGATTTCACCATGTTGGTCAGGGTGGTCTCGAACTCCTGACCTCGTGATCTGCCCACCTCAGCCTCCCAAGGTGCTGGGATTACAGACGTGAGCCACTGTGCCCGGCCAAGTTTGCCAGATCTTTTTTAAGCTGAGAGTTAGAACCAAGACATTGCCACTCCTACCACCTTCTTCTGTTGGTGAAGCTGAATCACGGTTTCTCATGGTCTCAATCATGACCCAGTCCAGATTCCAGGGTCAAAGACCATAAAAGGCTACATTGATGGAAGACATGTCTCATTGAGGGACGCCAGAATAACAACTACCAGACAAGAGGGGGCAGGTCTATGGGAGCCCCAGTTCCTAATTCTATGTGGCCCTGTCTTCAGAGAAGATGGTTGGAGGGCAAATTGTGGGGAGCAAGGTAACTCCAAACTTTTACAAAATTAAAGGTAGGGGGTCTGGTCAGCTACAGTCCGTCTGTTACCAAGAGGCCTGGCTGTGTGTCTTCAGTCTATTAGGCATTTACTGAGCACAGCCTACATACCAGGTTCTTCATTTTCTGACACAGGGTCTTGTTTTGTTGCCCAGGCTGGAGTGCAGTGCTGCGACTGCAGCTCACTGCAGCCTTGACCTCTCCAAGCTCAAGCGATCCTCCTGCCTCAGCCTCTCGAGTAGCTGGGGCTACAGGCGCGCACCACCACGCTCGGATAATTTTTCTGTTTTTGGTAGAGACAGGGTCTCACCCTGTTGGCCAGGCTGGTCTCGGATCCCAGAGCTTAAGTGATCCGCCTGCCTCGGTTTCCCAAAGTGCTGGGATTACAGGCGTAAGCCTCCGCGCACGGCCTATGCCCGGTTCTACATGTGTTCTTGCTTTACTCCTGTGTTACAGAGGCTCGAATGAGGCCTGGCTTCTACAGTACCGCACCCAGCACCACACCGCGACGTAGCCTCCTGTGCTCTTTCTGTCCGGCAGCTGGAGTTGGGGTAAAGCGCCGGGTCTCTTGGAGGGCAACACTCAACGCGGTCGGCTCCTAGGCATCCAGTGGGGCTGCAACCCCGCCGCCGGGGGCGACAGGCGAAGGTGAAAACCTAAAGCTGGGATAGCGCAGCCGGGTTTCAGCTGGTTCTAGAGTCCACGTCAGAAGACCGTCCCCGGCGCCGCGCGCGCCGGAGATCACTGTCTGCGCCCCGGCACGCACGGACTCGCGCACGCGCGCGCCGGCCCCGCCCACCGCCCCGCTGTGGTCCCTGTGTGGACCGCGCGAGCCACCGTCCGCACAGCCCCGCCCCGCACGGCCAGGCGAAGCGGAGCCGGCCGTGCGGTGTGTGTGTATGTGTTCGCGGGGCGCCGTCTCAGCCCCGGGAAGATGGTGGCTGCAGCGGCGGCGACTGAGGCAAGGCTGAGGAGGAGGACGGCGGCTACGGCAGCGCTCGCGGGCAGGAGCGGCGGGCCGCATCGGGACTGGGACGTGACCAGGGCTGGGAGGCCGGGGCTGGGGGCCGGGCTGCGCCTTCCGCGGCTGCTGTCGCCGCCGCTGCGGCCGCGGCTGCTGCTACTGCTGTTGTTGCTCTCGCCGCCGCTGCTCCTGCTGCTGCTGCTGCCCTGCGAGGCCGAGGCCGCGGCGGCGGCGGCGGCGGCGGTGTCGGGCTCAGCCGCAGCCGAGGCCAAGGAATGTGACCGGCCCTGTGTCAACGGCGGCCGCTGCAACCCTGGCACCGGCCAGTGCGTCTGCCTCGCCGGCTGGGTGGGCGAGCAATGCCAGCACTGCGGGGGCCGCTTCAGGTGAGTGGCGGGTAGTGTGGGAGGCTGGGGCTAAGGGGCGTTCGAGACAGCTCCAGGCCAGAGGCAGATGCTGGACAGAAAGTGGAGAGGGTAGGGCCGCCCCATGGGGTTTGAGGGCCATTTGCTTCCGGGGAGATCATCGTCTCTGGCCTGGGGTCTTCCTCTGTTGGAAGGTGAAAAGGTGTGGGGCAAGGGTCGGGGCACCCCGACGGTATTTGGGTGCTTGGGTTAGATTGGAAGAGTGCTGAGGGACCCAAAGAGCATCAAAGCCGATCGCTCTAAAACTCGGCTTGTTTCAACTAAATGAGGTATCCAAGGAAAGGTGAGCTAGCCAGGTTTGCTTAAACACTTCCTTTTAACATCCACATGTGCCCTAGGACCCGATGAGTTCCCCGATGCACTGGAGATGTGGGGTGCTCTGAAGAAACAGGGCCCTGGAAATGCTTTGTTGGCTGGAGATAAAAGGGAAAGGGTAGCATTGTAAGATATTAGAGATGTAAGGACCAATGGTCCTTCTAAAGGAAAGTGAGGGAACTAGTCTTTTGGCAAAAGCTCATTGGAGGTGGCAGATTGGAACAGGGTCTGTGGTGAAGAGGGAATGGAAGGAGATTCCTATTTGCCTTGGTTTCTGGACAATATGAAGTTCTGAAGTGGCCTGGTTTGGGGCAGTTCCTCTTGGAGAAATCAATAAATTAATTAGCAGTTACCTGTTATTTGCTTCAGTTGTGCAAGGATTTTCCAGATAATACAGACAAATAGATTAGCCAGACTTTGGCCTTGTCCACAGGGAGTTTGGAATATAGCAAGAGAAAGATAACTTACGCACATAACCCTAGTCATAAGGGTTATAGAGTCATTCACGCGTTTGGCAGGTGTTTAGTTTACTGAACACATGTCTGATGTGGGGGAGTGGGGAAATGTGAACAAGAGAGACAGGGTCCCTGCTCTCATCCATCTTAACATTCTAGTGGGAGCAACAGGCACTTAACAAGTAAATGAGAGAAATGAACATGCTAATTTCAGGTGATGGTAAATGCTATCAAGAAAATAAAAACAGCATGGTCTGATAGAGAATTATAACCAGTGGTGACTTTTGGAGAAGGTTCTCATTTGAAATGACATTTGATCTGAGACCTGAATGAGGCAATGGGGAGCCTGTGGGAATTCAGGGATGGAGAGGTTGTGGCTAGCTGGAGGGATGCAAGGAGGACTTTGAGGAGGTGATAACATTAGATTTGAGCATTTAAGATTAAGTAGGATTTGGAAATGTGGAGCTAGAAAAAAATTACAGATGGAAAGAAGGGTGCAAACAAAGTTGTGGAGGCTGGAAAGTAAAGTTTTGCTGCTGCCTATATGGAAGAGAGTTGTGAGAGAGGAGTTTGGAATAGCAAAATCGTAGACTTAGGTAATGTTAGGTCTTCTAAGGAACTCAGAAAACGTTGAGCAGATGAGCTCTTTAGTTTTATGGATGGAGAAACCAAGTGACTTCAGGATCACTATGCAGTGAAGCTGCTTTTGTAACTTAGGGTGTTCCGATTTATGAATTTCATTAATCTCCATGTATTTGTTGAGGGCTCCTGTGTTTTAAGTTGTGAGATACAGTGGTATATAAGACAGGCACAGTCCTGCTCTTATGGAGCTCACATTCCAGCTTGGAGTAAAAAAATCCAACAAAAATTTTATTGTAATTTTGTTTAAGGCTGTGGAGGTAAAGAACAGGAGACAAACAGAGGTCTTGACTTAGTCTGGGGGTAATGTAAGTCACTGAGGAAGTGACGTGAAGTCTAAGGGGTGAGATGGTGCTACCTACATGAGGGCTGGGGTGCTGAGGGGCCAGCAGGTACAGAGGCTTGGGGATGAAGGGGATGATGGCAGCCTGGATGGAAGACCAGGTGGCAGGAGCAGAGAGAGCAAAGGGGAGCTTGACAAGACTGGAGAGAAAGGCAGAAGCCAGACCAAGTGGAGATCTGTAGGTTGGATTGAGAATTTTGACCTTTAGCCCAAGAGCTGTGAAATGGCGTAGTTCACTCCTATTTTCATGACATTATAGGCTTTTAGACTGGAGCCAGAATACAAATGGCCTTGAAGGGAGGCCAGGGCATTTTCAATTTGAGAAGCTTCCAAGATCAGGTGAGTGGATGGTTGAGTCAGATGAGGATCCTTCAAGTTCTGAAAGTCTGGGACACAGTAGTAGGCAGTGGGGACCCACAATGTGGGAAAGGGACTTCATAGCAAGATCAATCTGTAATGTTCAGAGTAGGTTGACTCACTTTGGGCATGAGAAATAGTGGGTAGCTAGGTGGGATCTGTTGGCATGGGTCAGAGCAGTGGTAATGAGAGCTTGTGGTATTGTAGAGGTGAAATGGACAAGTCTTCCTTGTAAATTGGTTTGCTCTTGGAAAGGTGGGGGATGGTGAGGGAAAGAAAACTAGATCCTATCTTGGGTGATAGATTGGACAATGATACCTTTAACAGACACAGGGACACAGGAGCAGGTGTTAGACATTTAATTGCACACATGCCGAGTTTGGGGTGCTCTCAGAGTACACACCTGGCAGTTGTTAAGTTTGGAGTCATTGACCTATGAGGGAGATTGCCAGGGAGCTCTCTCTGAGAGTCCACATGGAAAGCCCAGAGGATTGGAGAAGAGCTACTTGTTGCAGGGAACAGGTAGTCCTGACAATGGTTGTCTCAAATGGTGTCACAGATGAGTGAAGGGACTCCCCTGCTTATTGTGGACATTCCCTTTGAGGTGATTCTAGGTGATGTCAGTGCTGTTTCCTGGGTAGACAATTATGACTTTGGTCCTGATGATACCATTATATTTTGTGGGCTTCGGGATTTTGCATTTTTAAAAATGAAAGTAGGAGGAACTTATGACTCTGGTCTTTTAAAAAAACTCAATAGGCTGGGCATGGTGGCTCACACCTGTAATCCCAGCACTTTGGGAGGCTGAGGCAGGCGGATCATGAGGTCAGGAGATCAAGACCATCCTGGCTAACACGGTGAAACCCCGTCTCCACTAAAAATACAAAAAATTAGCCGGGCGTGGTGGCGGGTGTCTGTCGTCCCAGCTACTCTGGAGGCTGAGGCAGGAGAATGGCGTGAACCCAGGAGGCAGAGCTTGCAGTGAGGTGAGGTCGCACCATTGCACTCCAGCCTGGGCGACAGAGCGAGACTCCGTCTCAAAAAAACAAAAAAAAAACAATAAAATTTTAGTCAAGGCCGGGCACGGTGGCTCATGCCTGTAATCCCAGCACTTTGGAGGCTGAGGCGGGCGGATCAAGAGGTCAGTAGTTGAGATCAGCTTGGTCAACATAGTGAAATCTTGTCTCTACTGAAAATACAAAAAATTACCTGGGCGTGGTGGCGGGCACCTGTAATCCCAGCTACTCAGGAGGCTGAGGCAGGAGAATCACTTAAAACTGGGAAGCGGAGGTTGCAGAGAGCCGAGGTTGTGACATTGTACTCCAGACCGGGTGATGGTGTGAGACTCCATCTCAAAAAAAAAAAAAAAAAAATTTTAGTCGAAGTATTCTTTTGGGGGCAAGAGTGAAATGTTGGTTTTGATTACAGTGGTTTGTATTTTGATTTAACTTACAAACTTCTTTGTTATTAAAAGACATTAAATGAATACCTTTCTGATTTAGAATGGCATCAAGTTGGAGTGTTTTCTGAGGTTTTTAGTCCTGTAAATCCTGTGTTATAATTGCCGTTATAGGGTTTTTTCATTAATTGAAGGGAACATAGGCTAACAAGGAGTGGATTTCCCTAAGGTTATCACTGAATGCATACTATGTGCCACAGAGCATTTTCATGTACATTGTATTATTTAATCCTCAGGACAACTTTCAGGGTGTTATATAAAATTTAGATTATTGAATTATTGTCATTAGTAACATTTTTTCTAAATAAAAGATGACATATAGGTGTATGTATGTGTGTATGTGTATATATATATCATGTCATGTATATATATACAGATATATATATGTATGTGTATATATATTTATTTTTTTGGAGACAAGGGTCTCCCTTTGTTGCCCAGGATGGAATGCAGTGGCATGATTATGGCTCACTGCAGCCTCAACCTCCTGGGCTCAAGCAATCCTCCTCCGTCAGCCTCCCATGTAGCTGGGACCACAGGCACATGCTAACACACCCAGCTAACTTTTTTGTGTGTGTGTGGTAGTGAGGAGCTCTCACTTTGTTGCCCAGGTTGATCTCAAACTCCTGGGCTCAAGTGATCCTTCTGCCTCTGCCCTGCAAAGTGTCGGGATTATAGGTGTGAGCTACCACACCCAGCCACTACTATTATTACTGTATGTGCTGGGCACAAAACAGATGTCTGATAAATGCTTATTTCCTTTCTGTTTTTTCCTACAGAAGGTACATCCTAACATTATCAGGCTCAGTCCGATTCACCAGATTATTCTATTCAATTCTCCTAAACATTTTCTATAGCAGGAACTTAAAATAATTGAATGCACATTAAATTCAAAAATGAGCTTAATTTATCCTATGGGCATATTTATCTTTTGAAGAAAAATTACACTGGTGACATTACAAGTAGAAAAAAATGATCACTGAATTATGAAGATTCACATAAGAATGAATGAAAGTAGTACTGCCTTAGAAATCACACACCAAAGATTCTATAGGTATTTTTATTAAACTGACATCCTTTAACTTATCCTTTAAAATTAGTCATTTCTATGTCATCTTTTATTTAGAAAAAATGACATGTCATGTCATATCATGTCAACTGCCTATTAGTTATTTCTAATAGGCAGTTGATGTGATATATATATACACACACACACACACATACATATACACCTATGTATATGTCCGTTAGAGTGAAGTTATTCCCATTTCACAGATGAGTAAACTTGAATGTACTGAATAACTTGTCCAAGGTCACGGAAGTTGTGCACAATTGGGATTTGAACTCAGGGTTGTCTAATGCCCAAACCTGTGTTCTTTTTATTGTACCATTTGGCGTCTCATTTTTTTCTGAGTCCAATCACTCTTTATGGACGTTCTTTAAAGAACTGACCTAATTCCAACAAACACTTTGAGAAACAAAGGAAGGAAAATAGATTTTTACAGTAGGAAAGCTAACATTTTAAAATCTTAAATTCACTTGAATCTCTCTGGCTGCCGATCTGAGGACCTAAATGCCTTTTTAACTAGTGAAATGAAAATTCTTGCCTGGGTGCAGTGGCTCATGCCTGTAATCCCCGCACTTTGGGAGGCCGAGGCGGGTGGATAGCCTGAGGTCAGGAGTTCGAGACTAGCCTGACCAACATGGTGAAACCCCTGCTCTACTAAAAATTCAAAAAATTAGCCAGGCATGGTGGCGAGTGCCTGTAATCCCAGCTACTCAGGAGGCTGAGACAGGAGAATCGCTCAAATCCAGGAGGAGAGGTTGCAGTGAGGCGAGACTACGCCATTGCCCTCCAGCCTGGATAACAAAAGCAAAACTCTGTCTCAAAAGAAAGAAGGAAAATTCTCGAAAATAAAATGTGAAGAAGTAAAAAGTTAAAAAAATTTTTTTCTTATAGTAATTACTAAGTGATGTTAACCTCAAGCCCTAAATTTATGTTCACAAGTCCAATTTAGGCTCATCTGTTTTCCCCAGTACATTATAAGTTCCATGAGGGCAGGGGCCTGGAGCATAGTGAGCAGTAAATATCTGTTGAATAAAGGAATGAAATTCTGTAATTTACTTCTTATGACTTTTTAAAAAGTCATCTTTACCCACGTGCCTGCCATATATGTCTTCTGTCCTTATATTGCTCCTGAACTTCTCTGTCTTCCACTGTTTGGTGGGCATCTTTGCTGGGATGTTTTATTGTCACCTCATACTGAACCATGTGTAACACCAAACTTCTTATCCTCATTGAAAAAAATAGTCTTTTTCTTTGTACTTCCTTATTTGGTTTAGCTAAATCCAAATTTAGCTAATCAAAGGTCAAAACTTAGGAGTAATCTTTGGCTCTTTCTACCTGTTTGTTTTTTCTGCTCTTACACTGTATAAATTTGTTTCTTTTCATTTCTTCTGTTGCCATTCTAGTGCACCTAGTCCTTTACCTCATTGCTGACCTGCTTCTGTTGCACTTTAACTGTTCTCTTACACCTGCAGAGTCTGTTTCACACTTTGTCATATCAGTCTTCTAAAAACAGTGATAGACTGGATAAAGAAAATGTGGCACATAGACACCGTGGAATACTGTGCAGCCGTATAAAAGGGTGAGTTCATGTTCTTTGCAGGGACATGGATGAAGCTGGAAACCATCATTCTTAGCAAACTAACATAGGAACAGAAAACCAAACGCCTGTTCTCACTCATAAATGGGAGCAGGGAGGGGAATATCACACACTGGGGCTGTCGGTGGGTGGGGGACTAGGGGAGGGATAGCATTAGGAGAAATATCTAATGTAGAATATGGGTTGATGGGTACAGCAAACCACCTTGACATGTGTATACCTATGTAACAAATCTACACGTTCTGCACATGTATCCCAGAACTTAAAGTATAATAAAAAGCAAAAACGTGTCTCTTATTTTACTTCTTTTATTACCTCTAAAATGATCCTCAGCAGAAGGCTCCCATTCCCTTCACATCCCTTTTTTTTCTAACCAAATCTTTCCACTTCATGGTTTTTCTGTTGGCTAAATTCAGCACCTCCCTCCTCACTGCTCCCGCATTCTTTCTTTTCGTCTCTACTTACCAAGACCCATCTTCAGTTCTCTATAATCTATAGTAGTTAATTTTCTCAAATCATACCTTTTTTTTTTTTTTTTTTTTTGAGAGACAAGGTCTTGTTCTGTCATCCAGGCTGGAGGGCAGTGCTCCTGGGCTCAAGTGGTCCTCCCGCCTCAGTGTGCCCAGCCAATTTTTAAATTTTTTGTAGAGATGAGGTCTCACTTTGTTGCCCAGGCCAGTCTAGAACTCCTGTCCCCAAAAGATCATCTCACCTTGACCTCCCAAAGTGCTGGGATTACAGGCATGAGCCACTGCACCTGACCCCTATTATCTTCTTTTGAAATAAGTCATCAGCTATTTTACTTCATAAATATCTGCTGAATATTATGTGTTAGGTACTGTGCTGTTCCTTGAGGATATGAAGGTGCGTAAGAATCAGGCCTTGCTTTCCCCTCAGAGAACTTATAACTATGAAGGGAAGACAGCTACGTGCACAGCAATTAGAACTTCATAATAAAAATACAGGCAGTATGTGTTGCTGGACTAAGATGTGATCGACTAACTCTTTTGGGGGTTCTGGTGGAAGACGTCACAGAAGAGAGGACATTTGGGTAGGTCTGAGAGGTTTAGTGTAAGTAGACCATCTTGGGGAGAAAGGCATTCCAGAAGGAATGAAGAGCTGATCTGCAAAGGCAAAGAATTATGGATTATTGTACTTAGTGTATTAATTTCCTAGGGCTGTTACAGTGAAGTACCACAAACTCATGGCATAAAACAACAGAAATTTATTCTCTCATAGTTCTGGGGGCTAGAAGCCTGAAATCAAGGTACTGGCAGGGCCACGATCTCTCTGAAGACTCTGAGGGAGGACCTGTTTCATGCTTTTCTCTTCGCTTCTGGAGTTGCCAGCAGTCCTTGGCATTTTGGCTTGTAGATGCATCACTTCGGTCTCTGCCTCCGTCCTTTCAATCTCACGTGCTACTCTCCCTCCCTTTGTGTCTCTATCTTTTCTCTTAAGAGTACCAGTCATATTGGATGTACGAGTATGATGTCATCGTAACCTTGTTGCATCTGCCAACGCCCTGTTTCCAAATAAGGTCACATTCACAGGGACCCAGGGTTAGGACTTTGACATATCTTTTTGGGGAACACAGTCCAACCCACAGCATGTGGAGAATGGAATGTGGATGCGTG